CAATTGAATTCCGAAGAAAATTGCGTTCCATTAGTTTTTTTCAAACTGTAAATGTAGTACAGAACCAATCGGCGGTGGCTAGGGGAGGTCGGTTGGTGAATAAGCATGGCCGAGCGTAGAATGAGCAAAGGATGACGAGAAATGATCACTACATAAATCCCTGCGCCGTAAACTAAAACCCAACTCCTCTCTCTCCACTTCATAACATTTCTTTCCATTTCCTTTTTTCGTGATGATACAAGAGGGGCCCAAAGACGTGGGTAAAGGGAAAATGGGTTCGATTAACCCGAGAAGAGGAAGCGATAGGTCTTCTTCCACCAGGGCTGCCTCGCCAACTCGGCCCTATACTCTCTCATCTGCTCAACGGTATACCAACACTTTCTACCGGTATCCAAATCAATCTCGTGTGCCCTCTGCGGGGTAGTCCTCTTCCAAATGAACCCGACCACGTAGCACGCAATGACGACGGGCAAGGCCAAATAGACTTGGAAAAAGTTGTTGGCGACTTCGCGCGGGTTGTCAGACATGCCGCCGACGGGTGAGATGGCGATGTAGGCTTGGGCGATGAGGACGAGGATTACGAGGATGAGACCGATCCAGGAGCCCCAGACGCCAAAGAGGGCGCGGAAGGGGAGCTCTTCGACCGAGTGGCCTTGGACGCGCCATGCCTTGCGGAAGCGAATACTGGAAAGAGTTAGAGAGGGTCGTTATAGTAAGGGAAGGAGACGTACTGGCACAACATGATGGAGCCCCAGGTGAAGAGGGTGGAGAGGCCAGAAAGGGCGAGGAGCCATGCGAACACGGTCTCGGAAGCGGCGGTCAAGTTGACGTACGCTACAAGTCGTCAATACTAATTCAAGTATTAAAAAGAGAATGCTCACCTAATGGTCCGAAAGCGAGGACGAAAACGACAGACCAAAGAGGACGTCCACTCTTGTCGACATAGGCGAAAATCTTGGGTGCGTATCCCGTCTCGGCAAGGGCGGAGAGCGTCCTCGAGCCACCATACACACAACTCAATCCAATACTGAGTACCGAGATGCAAATAGTGACGTTGATGAGATGGTTGATGCCCTTGATACCCGCACGGTCAAGGACACGGACGAACGGCGACGCCTGAGCGGTTCCACCACCGAAGAGGAGGTCGGGGTCGTTATAGGGAATGAGCAAGCCGATGAACAAGAGGGAAAGAATGTAGATGATGGTGATACGCCAGAACGTGTTCTTGATCGCGGATGGCATGGTCTTGCGTGGATTCGGGGTTTCGGACGCGGCGAGTCCAACGAGTTCGGTACCGGCGAACGAGAACGCGGCAGTAACGAATACGGCGCAAACACCCTTGAACCCATTGGCGAATGCTCCAGGGTCGTGCCAGTACCTCCCTCCTACATACTCGGAGTACTCTCCGTTGGCAGGGCCGCCACCGCACACGCACACGAGGGCGATGAAGCAAAACATGATGACGACGAATAGTTTGAGGCAGGACGACCAGAATTCTTCTTCGGCGTATCCGAGGGTACCGAATACGTTGATGAGGACGATGGCGAGGAAAAAGATGGTGATCCAGGCGGCGAGCGGTACGTTGTTGGGCCAGTACGAGACCGTGATACCTGCTGCCGTGATTTCGAGGGGTAACACCACCGCCCATTGGAGTACATAGTTCCATCCCATACTATACACCAGTCAATTTCTATTCATTTTAATAAGTGAGGACTCACGCAAAGCCCCAGGCGGGATCGAGCATTCGGACGGCGAGGGCGTAGAATCCACCAGAAAGAGGGTACAAGATGGCCATTTCACCGATTGCTTGGCACGTCATGAGGACCATGAAGCCAATGATGAGCCAGTCGATGATGACGGCGGCAGGACCTCCGACAGCGAGCGCGCCTCCTGATCCGATGAACAAACCGGTCCCGATCGATCCACCAACTGCAATCATTTGCTAAAAAGGGTGTTATTAGGAATTTTCAAATTGGATAAGGGGCGTCTTACCAAATGCCTGGGTTTCATCTTTTGCTGCAACATGGGATCTGTCACACGACATCAATAAACGGTGATCATGCGAGGAAGAGGATTGGACGCACTTTCCCGTTGCAAGAGCTCGTTCGACTCGACGCCTCCACCGGCAATAACCTGACCACTACACAAAACATGTCAATGACAATGAAAAAAAGACGGAAACGGTAAGTTGGAGCCGAAGAAGAGGGCGAATGGGAAGCACGGAATTACGAAATGGATGTAAAAGGTGATGATAGTAGGTGTGATGGTGACGAGGTGGGGATGATGGAGATGCGGGTGGTCCGCTGATAAGACGTGATGGCCGTCTACGGTCTCTGATAAGGACCCATACGCTCGCCAAGACATCC